CTTTATCGGTTGTGAAAAGTTCACGTACCACTTGTCAATATTTGAGTCAGTTTGGGCCATATTCCAACAAGTCCTCCAACTCATACGACCAAATAGGCCGATTGTTCAGGCCCAATTATTATGACCAAATATGTTGTTTGTTCAAGCGCTTAATACGTCCTATAATTACGTTTTAAAGTTTTCGCCCTCTAGTGCTCCCGTTGAATGCAAACGTTACAGATGGTCGTTTATTCACAAATAACCCTCTCTGTAAAATCCTAAATTGTAGGATAGTTTGGCCATTAAAACGCTTTTTGATTAGATTTCTAGCGAGAAGTGTATATTGTACTTTTAGAATCCACGTCCAGTCGATATGTAGGATCTATAGTTTGATAGATATTACGAAGATGATTTGAGGTATGCAGCAGCGTCCATGTAAAGTTACGGGTTGAAAACAGTATTTCCGGTCTCGGCGTTTTCATAATAAAACCAATGATCAAATGAACATTTAATATTCATTACTAAAGGTACAGCCAAATCATCACAGCACACAAAACCTATTACCGCCGCAGATGGACCCAAAAAAGGGAGCGTTTGGAAAAAAGGGGCGGGTCCGCTCAGTAAAACGATAACAACGAAACATGGAGGAACAAGTCTGCGTTTAAGTCGTGTGTGTGTGTGTGTGTGTGTGTGTGTGTGTGTGTGTGTGTGTGTGTGTGTGTGGAGGTGTGTGTGGTTAAAACACATCAGCCTGTGGTCGCTCTTAGCCTTTCTAATGATTCTGAAGGTACATGTAAACACAGTGAAGGCGGTGCGTGAAAGGCGGTGCGTGAAAGGCACTGCGCGCTTATCTTCTCAGAGGCTGAGTTAACCCTCCCGCTGCCTCCCGCTGCTGCAGAGATTTCATGAAGTGAAGGAGGTTTTCATTCTATAATACAGCTGTGGGCAGCAGATACTGTGAGTGTCACAGACATGAATACATAGATCAAGGCAGACTGGTGCACACACTCTCCTGTTTTGCCAATCCGGTAGTTAAACAAATATAGCTCTAAATCTCTGGCCGAAATGTCCTTAAAATGAAGTCCGAGTTCGACATTTTAATTCATTACCTTTCCAACTCCTCATGCAGTTGACTTACAGGTCTATACAGGTTCATGGTAAAATGCATAAGCTTCAAATCGAGAGACTGAAACGACCAAATAGGTCGATAGGTATTTTCCTTTACCGTTCTGTTTTAATTTCACAATAAAGTTAATAGTCATATTATGTTTGATATTATATTTTATTAACTAGACCACTGGTTTTTTAACCCGCACCGCCTAGTGGTTAATGTAAGGGAAACTTCTGTGTAGCAATGCAGTGGGAGTCACCGACTCAGGAAAGAGACACGGGAAGAGCAGGAGCTCTGATGTCAAACACTGATGGTTTATTTGGAGTTTCGGCCGGAGGATTCACATCACAAGTCACAGCAGTCACGATCTGACTGCACGGGGAGAGTTGCCACGTCAATTCTGGAGCGCCTCTCTCTCGTTAGCCCATTTAACTGGTTTCACAGAGAGTAATCAACATATTTTGATAAGATAGCTTAGACAGTTGGGCACACTGAGTTACTTGCATCTGTCACTTATGGCCTCGAAGATTTCATACCTTGGACTCCACAAACAACAAAGAAGGAAGTGTCCCAGTGCACCCACAACAATAGACCATCTGTGACCTAGTGTTGCCCGGTCATAGAATGGGAACAATAACATTATGGCTGAAGCAGCCTATCTCCTTAAAGGAGATAACAGATGTCAGGGTTGGTCATGTACGTCATATCTAGGAGTCTAGGACAATTATTTCCCTAACAGTTAAAGCACGTTATTGAATTTTGTTGTTGAATACGTTTTGTTTGTTGAAAACATTTAAATATTAAGAGTAGCCTACATACAAAATTGAAAATATCAAGAAGATACTGTAGTGATCTCTACAATAAAACAGTTTAGTGCAGGACGTGCAAAGATATTAACAGGAGGATGTGAAAAACAGACAAACTAATAAGGCTTTATTTAAACATTAAGATTACTTTAAGTTAAGGTCTTCTTTTGAATAAGAAAAAAACTTTGGGGTTATCCACAGATAAATATGAAGTCTGACAAAGTACTTAACGTCCAATATATTGCATAGTTTATTTTGGCACTTGACAATCACCTTCCCTGAATTTGACTCAGGTGTAACTAAAGTCTGATTTAAGGGTTGTTTATATTTCACATCATTAATCAGAATCTGCAAAGTAACTAAAATACATGGATGTATGGGCTGGACCCGTCCAATTCCAGTCTTGGAAAGTCTGCCATGGTTCCATTCCATTTCAAAGAACTGTTGACGCTCAGCGTAACCTTGTCGCACTGCCACTCCAACATCCAATCACAGGGCTTGATGACTAATCACGGGGTTTGTAAAGCAAGGCGGATGTTGTAGTCCCAAACGATAGCTGGGGATTCTGGGTAGTGTAGTGTCTTCGGAAACTGTAGTGTCTAAACTCCTAAAAAACTATTTGTTTCTCTGAATCGAAGGTTAAAAACACAAAAGCATTGTACACAATTTAAACCCAATCAATATTGTGTAATTAACAAGGATAAACTGATGTTTTTTAGTGGATGAGTAATGCAGATATCACTGTGTAATCATTTGACAGTGAGGGGAATATATCCGGTTTTATTATAAAAACTTCGAGACTGGAAAAACTGTTTTCACCCACGCTAACTTTACATGGAAGATACACGTTATCCTGGCGAGAACTCAAATCATCTTCGTAATATCTATCAAACTATAGATCCTACACCTCCACTCGGCGTGGATTCTAAAAGTACAATATACACTTCTCTCTAGAAATCTAATCAAAAAGCATTTTAATGGCCAAACTATTCTACAATTTAGGATTTTCCAGAGAGGGTTATTTGTGAATACACGAATAAACGGGAGCATGTTGTTTCTTACACGACCACTACACTTTAAAACGTGGCTATGGGTCGTAATCTAAGCTGCTTAAACAATCGACCTATTTGGTCGTTTTTTGTAGGAGGACAGGCTGCCATATGCATGCAACCTTCCACTGTAGACTGATTAAAACCAATGGAGCACCACAGGGAACATTCCTAGGAGCCAACCCTTTTCTTTTATGGTTAATTAACCATAAGCAGAAATACATATAGTAATTTCTATATTTCTATGCCTCTGCTGAAATGTGATTGTTTTTCTTTTACTTTGTTTTGCATTTTCAGTTTAAGTCAATGTGGAAAGTAACTTGTAAGAACTCAAAGGCCTACTTTGGAGATGAAAAACTATGGTGGGAACAATTTTGGGGCCCTTTGTCTTTCTGATGTAGTTGATCAGCAAGACAAACGTCATCCGAATCCCTTGCTTGTTTGATGCCATAAATCAATTTCTCTTTGTATAGGAAAACACATCTTTCTACCTTATCTTTATCTTAACTTATCTTATCTTTCTAACACTGGCTTAAAGCTGACTTCCCAATTGGGGAAGTACTTGGGCAGTTACTGATGCTGTTTCACAAGCCTGTTAGAGCACAAGTCCAGATATTAACACAGATTGAGAAAACCCCTCTATTGAACAGGAGGGCTGACATAAGGAGGGACTAGGGAGAGATAACAAACTGAAGTAAGATGAAAGGAATAGTGATGAGACAGCCAAAAACAATCTTCACAGATACATTTCTTAATTTGATATCAATATGATGTATTTTTCTAATATATTTTCTTATTGAATAGAATCTTTCTTTACCCTAGAGACACACCAGCACATGGAGGGATACCTTTTTCTTGCTTCAATCACAATTTATGGCCCATTAGATAACTCACATATAAATCCAAGCACCGAACAGGAACACATTCTCTGTTGATATTTCTTGCTCTTGGCCCTTGGTCCTCTTCCAGAATAAAAACATGACAACACAACCTATGTTGTAAATGTATGATTTTTTTACCACTCCGGTCAGTGTTGTGGTTTGTTTGTGATGTGTTCAATGAATATAAATGATCTCCTGGAGATCTCGGTGCAATTGCTGCTGAGAGGTAATTTCCATCCCCTCTCCAACATCAGCAGCCCTGTCAGGCACATCTCCGTTGCTGCCCACACCCCCATTACAGCCCTACAAGTAATACAAATCACAGCGCTCTACCAATTATATACAAGGGCATCTTGGAGAAAACAGAGAAGTGATGCATAAACAGACATTTTTTTATCGGGAGAATTCGTCCCTTCAAATCGGCATTACAAAGCTAACTTCCTACAAGATGTGACATAAACTGTTGGCAAAAAAGTACTACTTTTTGTTCATATTTGTATAGTATTTAATGTATTTATGTATTAACATTCTTTGAATTTCCCTTACTCCCCTTATGTTATGTAAATACACCAAATACAATTGAAAATTAGATTTTTAAATATAATTGGCAATACATTTGATTTTGATTTTAAAGTCTTTAGATTTCAGTAAAACATTGTTTTGCACTTCAGTTTGGGGTAATGTGGTGGCAGGTTGTGCAATACATATGCATGGACTCAAAAAACCTTCCACTTTAGACTAATGAAAACATGAGGAGCACCACAGGGAACAAACATAGAGCCATACGTTTTTCTTATATGGCTAATTTAGCAAGACGAAACTACATGTAAACTTAACCCAAAAAGTAAGGCAATTTGTGTTTGGTAGACGATTTCTACGTTGTAACAATGCTTTTTGGCAATACATCTTATACCGTTGGAAAGCCTGTGTTATTACTTTTTTCCAATGGTACCACATTTGGGAGGAACAAGCATTTGTGGGATGAGCAGCAGAGCCGAGTATGAGGGGTGCGCCCATGAAAAAGGTGACAAATCTCCTCTGCCAATGCCAAACAGCTTTTTTTGGTGCATACTCTAGTTTTGTGTTGTATGGTAGATTGGATGATTGAAGTCTGATAAATAAAGACATATTGGCAACAATTGATTTATTAACAATTGATTCATTTAACAAGCAGCCTCAGTAGCGTGTGGAAGAACCAAACACAGCCACAACAGCCTCTCCTCCTCATGCTGTCACCAGCCTGCTCACACACTGCTGTGGGATGGCATCCCATTCTTCAACCAGCATTTGTCCCAGGTCAGCCAACGTGGTTGTGTTGGTCACTCTGACAGAAGCCCAAGTTGATCCCACAAGTGTTCAATGGGGTTGAGGTCAGGACTGCAGGCAGGCCATGCCATCCTCTCCACTCCTACTCTAACGTTGCAGCAATCAGCAAAGCATTCTCTGCATCTTCTCCACACTGTGACCCTATGATCCATGTGCCGTAGGCAGAATCTGGACTCATCGCTGAACATCATGTTCCTCCACATGTTGAGGTTCCAGTGCATGTGGGCCTGACGGTGAAGGGCAGTCATGGCCGGCTCCTGGCAGCTGTACGAGACCGGAGAGTGGCTGCCGTTTGGCATTGGCAGAGGAGATGTGTCACATTTGTTCTCACAAATGTGACACCATTAGGAAAGGTAACAAAACAGGCTTTCCAACGGTATAAGATTTATTGCCAAAAAGCATTTTTTCAACATAGAAATCATCTAACACAAATTGCCTTATTTTTAAGTGTTAAGTAAAACAAATGTCATGCCTCCTCTGAAACTCTTTAAAGTATATTTAAACTTATTTTGTGAAATATTGTGTTTTAAACAAGTACTCAAAGGCCTTCCATTAGAGATTAAAAAGTATAGTGATCCCAAAGGAACAATGCCTCCTTCTTACGTTGTTGAGCAGCATGACAAACATCATAATGTTTGTTTGGTCATACATAAAGTGTATCATTGTACTCTGTAATGTGTAAAGAAAAAGGGTTATACAGTGCTTCTGGGTCAAACTATAACATCGTGATTTTTTTTAATTTAGTCCATTGAAGTATAATTGTCACATTAAAAATTATATTGCAAAATGTATTAGTCACAACCTATTTTCTCTGGCCGGATCGCAGGTGCTGCTGCCACAAAACAAGGAACACATCGCTGCTGGTACTGTGGAGGATTATGAAAGTTAGTGCTCGGAATAGCAAATGTTCAAGCCTTAATGGATTCAGGACACCACTGGATGAATCATGATTGCGTAACATCAATCCGCAACAGAATATGAAAATAGACATTTATTTGGAAGATGCGTTTTGGCTTTTTTGGTTCAATTGTATGATTCACTGTGGAAATGTAATATAAAGAGAAAGTCAAGGATATCAACAGAACACTTTGAAACAGATTCCATTCACTACTATCATTAAAAGTGTGTCTAGCACCCCTTAATATTGATGTTAAATGTTAGCCCTTTGCTAAAAGCACTTTGGGTACAAAACACAAAAAGATTGTATCTGAAATAAACAATTTATTAACACAGACAGATCAATAATACGCTTTTAATCTTTATTTGCCCAACTTCTATGATTTGCAAAGCAGTAGTGAATGAAAACTTGCATTGAATTGCTTTTTCTCTTGCCAATTTCTTTGGAGATCCAGTTAAAGATGCTGTTTTCCTAAAATGATTAAAAGGTGAAGCACTGTGTAATGAACAGTGGCCAAGAAAGTCACGCTACAACGGCTAAAATGATGCACATTTAAAAGAAAAGAAAACATACAATAATCCAAATGAAAACCACATAACAGCTCAAATGTGCAGCAATTATCATAAGGTGCTGCAGAAAGCCAAAACATATTGACTCCTAGAAGACTGTAGAAATTCCATTGTGCCGACCGAGCATTGTGCTTTTTCAGCCACCGCTGTATTGTAGTGGTAAAAAACATCCACATACTTGGTATTTCTTTGCATCTTCCATCATAATGAAATTGGTATTGTATTTTTACGCTTCATCAGAAACTATGGAAATGAGACTGTGACATTTTACTCTTGGTTGCTTCCACATGGTTATGAAACATGTCTTTAAAGTACAGGCACACACATAGAAATTATGCTTTTTACTTGGTTGCTAACAGCCTCACAGTCTTGCACATAATCACAATAATAAATGCCCTGGCTGGTATTATTTGTATATAAACTTGTTTCTTATCTAGAATATCAAAAGCCAAAATGATTATTTCTGGTGTTGAACAAATCACAATAAATTCCAGTCAGTCTTCTTAAAATGTCTAAATACTAGTATCAAAGTAGTCCTCATACAAAATCACTTCTCCGACACAGCAGAATTGAGTCATCACTGTATGGATTTTTCTGTTAAAACTCACTTTCGGTTTTTCTCCCTGGGTGCTGCAGCTAAGGTTTCTAAAACAAACCCCAAAGCACCAATAAGAATATTTCTCTGCCTGACTCATGAATTTAAGTATCTTAAATCAACTATAAATGTGCCAACCACCGGTGAGGCCTTTTATCAGTGCAGCCAGCCTCCTGGGTGTCTGCTACTGTAGACTTCTCAGAATAAACTGTGTGTATCATTAAAGGGGTCAAATCGATGAGAGATATTTGAAATGTGTTTCTATAAAGTCAGGCCTACACAGTGGCTTTCAGACTCATTCCCGGGATTATTCTCTAATAGCAGAGTCTGGGGACTGCTCTTAAGGCTACAACAAATCTAGATCCTTACGGCCCGTCCACACAGCGGCGTGCGTTGACGCTTGCCGGCGGGCGTGTCTGACACTCGACCAATAACCAATCACATGAATCTCCTGCCCCTGACACACAAGCAGCGGTTTGATTGGCTAGAGCTTGTACTGGCATATGATTCGATTGGCTGACGCTTCTGCCGAGGCGTCAAAAGTTGAACATTGCTCAACTTTTGCAGCGAGCCACGCCAGCAACGCTCCGCATCGCTTCCCACGATGCAGTTCGGCTAAAAGTGACGTCACCCCATTCAAAGTGAATGGGCAGAAGCGTTGGAAGCTTCAACGCACGCCGCTGTGTGGACGGGCCGTTATGGCTCCCACCCAGTCTGTAAGGATGTCTGTAAAGTCATTGTAGACATTGTAAAAACTTTGGGGGTTGATTCTTAAATTAATGTTTGATTAAAAACAGGTGTGCTCAAGCATTTGTATTACTTTTTAGTGATACTCGTAACAACAAACATTACAAATGTACTTCAGTTAGAATTGTATGCAGCCAGCTTTCCGCAGACGTAGAATATGGTAATTTGTCTTCCTAATGAAGAAGGGCCCGAGGGTTATTCCCTGGGGTTCTCCACGTTTGTCATTTGGTTCCTAATGACAGGTTCAGAATCCCTGCATGTCACCCGATACACTTAACGAAAGTTTACATTTTATTTCATTTGAATTGGATATAAAATTAAACTAAATTATAATTTTTTATTTAATTTGATGATTAAACATGCTGTCGACACTTTTGGTCCCAAAGACTCAAGAAATTCTGATTTCAGAAACTCTTAGAACTTTATTTGGATGTTATCATGTTTTATATAAATAAAATAATAGTAAAACTTTGATTCAAGTTTCTTTTTATTTTCCCACTTTATAAACCCAAAAAAAGCATTATTAGCCGTCTGTTGTTGATCCTCACTTGAGAACACATACATAACCAATGCGAACCTTTACAAATATTTCACTTTATCATGCTCCAGTTCTTCAGACCAGTTTTTATCCATTGAATTTGTGTGAAAAGATTGGGTGGAATAACTTTCCAAACAACTAACTTGTACAAAGTCTTAACTCGGATTAAAAAGGGTACTTTGGTTTATTTATACAATTGATTCTCTTTATATAATTAATTCTCACATCTCATCTGGCTGAACTACTTTTCTGGTTCAAACAGAAAATTAAATCTGCTATTGATTATTTCTTAGGGGTAGTTTTACAACAATATGTTTCCAGCCTAATATACTATTAACATAATGAGGACTTCAACTGCAACTTTATTTGCAGTCACATTAGTATCCAAAGACAATATTTCATAAAAATCCAACCATTTAAAGGTCTCCTATCATGCAAAATGCATTTTAATGTCTTTTATACATAACTATGTGTCCCCAGTGTGTAAGGGAACTTACAAAGTGTCAGAAAAACAAAACCCTCTCTTTTTTCCTCCGTACCCAAATCTCTAAAAACGGGGGTATAACGGAGCTGATCCAGATTTGCGTCCGATATGACGTAATATCAGAAATATGGGCTGGCTTTACGCCCAGGGCCCTATCAGAAACAATGCGCGGCGCGTTTTGGAAGTAATATGGTCTTTGTTTACATTAGCAAGCATAGCTAACACTCAGAGCTAATGCTGTACTGGAAAGAGTATGTGTAAAAAAGCAGGATATAAAAAGGAACTCACCTTGTGGTGAACCGGCAAGAGAAAAAGCATTTGAGCTCCATACTGTTTCAAGAAATAATCCTTGATGTGGTTTTGAACATGATATGCCGTTTCATCGCGGCAGCCTTTAGCTGAGTATCTGGGTAGAATTCTCCTGCATAAGCTCTTTTTCTTTAAATATTTGTTTTTGTTTAAAGCTATGGACCCAGAATCAGCAGTTCTCTAACAGGGCTGAAATAGAGGGATATGAGGCATGGCTAGAATGGGTGATCTGCTTGGTATTTTGAGCAAAACACTTAATTGACATCTTTATATATCTGAGACCTATAATATATGCCTAAAAATAGTATAATAGGAGACCTTTACAGAGTTATATAACTGACAGCGTGTGCAGTTGTTTATGTGGGAAACAAAAGCATGTACATCTTTAAGATGATGAAAATAACCTCTCCTGCATTCGTATGGGCCTGTCAGGTGTTTAAAATAATCAAAAAGGTTCATATCCAGCCAAGATTTCCACTATTTCAGATTAAGCACTGCTTTCAATAACCAATGTATCTTCTGTATCTTCTATTAATTTCCTTTTTCAACCTATCAATTGTTTTACAGCCAAGTTGCCGTTTTTTCACCGAGCATTGGACTTTCAATCCTAATTATCTTTCAGAGCCCAGATGCCTTTAACAAGAGTTCTGGACAATTCACAAAACAAAACCTTGTCCCTATCTGTCTCTCTCTGTGTCAAACACACACCAAGCATACATTAAACACACACTGTATGTTAAGAAAACCTAGCCTTGCATGGTGAGAGAAGCCCAGCCGTCACTCAGATTGATCCTGACAGCTAGTGTGTGCAGCGACACACCACCAAATTGCCAGATCTAATCACACATGAGTCTAATTTGTCGATGAAATGTGAATGAGGGCTCTCACAAGATTCAGTCCTCCGGGGTGAGCTGCGGCTGTAATTACAAGACTGAGAAACTGGAGCTGGCTGGTGAAATGTAGCCTTCATGGTGGGAGGGCCACCATGGATGGTGATTTCCATGTGCAATTTAATATGCATAAGTGCGCTCCAATGTAAAGTATGGCAAAAATGCAATGTATGAGTACCCAGATGTTGCACTCATAACGGTAAAAAAGTAGAGTCTGGAATGCCGAACACCTCTTGCCCTCAGCGACCGCTAGCTGTGGTTCCGCAACCCGCTGGATTGTGGTTCCTCTTGTGAACACCGCCCTATACAAATAAAACGTATTAACACGTGTTTTTTTCTATTTAATAGAAAAATGTACATAATGGTGTTGAAAACAAGCCACCGTTATTTAATAATTAATCAGGCAGCATCTGTAATGATTTGGTACCATGAACGATAACGTTGGGAGCTAGCTAGCAAAACGGAGACTTGGAGTACTAATTTTCGGGACTCGACAAGAGCAGAGATGTACTCTAACTCGGCCTCGTGAATTCTCGCGCACTTGGGCTTGTGCACTGATGGACTCGGACTCGCACATTGACGATCGGACTTGGACTCCGACTCAAGCAAGTTTTGTCACTCTCGAGTCCAGATGTACTCTGCCCCAGGCAAGTGCAGCGGCAACGCAAGTTCCTTTACCGCGCGTCCCCACTATTTTCAGTTTAAAGATGTGCAGAGACACACCCCCCGTGATTATTCCTAGGTGACTCAGACTTGGACTCGGACTCGAAGAGTGGGGACTCGAGAGTGACTTGGACTTGAGAATTGGTGACCTTTACAACACTGGTACTAAGGGAAGTGTCTGAATTGTGTTAGAGTTTATTGAAGGATAAACGTGTTTTCATAATATGTTGTCATTTTATGTTGTAAAGAGACCATAGTCAGAAAAGAGGAACAGAGAATAGTCTGTTCCCCTTTTCTGTGGACCATACACACACACACACACATGATTGCGAGTCACAAGACTCCCATTGACAAATAAAGCCGTTGGTTACATACACTTCCTCATGCATGATTTGTAACTGTATTTTTGTAATAAAGAGACTGCACTGAGAGAAGAGGAGCAGAGTTGGTTTTGGAGTTGACATAACCTGTCACTCGCTGATTCTCCTTGCAGCAAGTAAACTTGAAACTCGAGTACTGTTATCTTTGTTCACTGGGTTTTGGTATATTTGAACCGAGCTGGGGTTTACTCTTACAAAGTAATATAGAAATACCCAACATTAATTGGTCCTTCGGAGCCGGAATCCAACACATCGTGACGGGAAGGAGGAGGGAAAAGACACGCCGCAAGTCTGTCGACAGCCGGGATCATCAGCCGACCCCGAGAAAGACCCGGGACGCAGAATTCGTGGCCGGGCCGGTGCTTATATGTCCAACCTCCCTCATCCTCGGCACGATTGACGGAATCCAACCGGACCAGTGACCACAGATAACGGGTAAGATAAAAGTTGATATACATGGTTTCTCCACCATTTAAGGAGGTAGAGAAAGGCTTCTCCGCCATTTAAGGAGGATTGACGTGTCTTTGGGTACACTTATGAGAAAGGTTTCTCCACCATTTAAGGAGGTAGAAATTGACGTGCCTTTGGGTACACTTATGAGTGATTGAGTGAAAGTAGTGTGTAAAAGTGTCACCAGGTGGAATCAGCGCACAGAGTGGAAACCTAACGGTGATAACAAAAACTCTGTGGTCTGTTGAAGTACACTAGTGGTGAATTAGGAATTAGGTTCTGACCGGCACGTTGTCCAGTAGGAACACAAAGCTAGAATAATGGGGTCCAATGGGAGTAAGCCTGCCGCTACAGGGGACATGAGATATATGGAAATATATAGTCATGGCAGCACCAGTTATTGTAGCAAATGGTATAAACTGTACGGCTTCCGAGGAAAGTTGGAGAAAACAGCAGTAAGAGAATTAAGCGACAAATTGAGAGCAGAAACAGCTGGAACAACACAAGGCAAGAAAAGAAAGAAGTTAGAAGCTCAACTGCGAGTCGCAGCTTTATGGGCTGAACAAGCCCATAAAAGGAGCAGGCAGAGGCAGAGGAGGAGGCAGAAACGCAGAAGGCAAATTCCTCTGCTACAGGTGCGGAAAGGAGGGGCACATGGCGAGGGACTGTGAGGAACAGATGTCACAGATAAAAGAAGGGGGACAAAAGGGACAGTACAAAGACGAAAGACATGGCCCCCCCCCTTCACATAACCTACATAGTTATGACAACTGACTAGACGTAGAAAAGGAAGAAGAGGACGTCCACACACATCACATTGACCTTTCTGAAGTATTACTGAATCTGTCAGACAACAGTATTAAACCTACCAGAACAATCGAAATCAATGGGGAAAAATTAGAATTTTGATGTGACAGCGGTGCAGACTCATCAGTAGTGAACAAAGAGGTCCAAAGAATGTGGCCACCAACTGGCACTATGTTTGTAAAATCAGCAAATGGACACATAAATCAGAGGTCGATTTCAAAGCCACTTTTTATGGAAGATAGAAGGTCAGGCCTCCAGGCATCCCTCAAATTTGTGTTCATCTCAAACTGCCCTGTCAATTTGCTAGGGAGAGACGGCATGGAAATGTTAAAAATCAGTGTAGTACCAGTCAAAGGGGGAATGCGAGCAGTAGGGGCCCGGAGAAGAAAGGTGGAAGACCAGGTCTTCCTTCAAAAATCCATAAACACCCCCAACTACTACTGGTCACTAGACATGCCACAACCTGACGTGACAAACACAGGTGAACACCTGTTAACACTATTCACCCCACAACATGGCCAAGAAGTAATGAAACCTGACGCATTGCACGTTACACTAAAGTACAAGAACACCCCTGGCCCAGACAAAGACTATGATGTGCTCGTGCATCGACTGACACCACAGAGGGTAGTGTTCCACTCGATGTATGCAAACCAACACGGGGATGTTGTAATTGACGCTAGGGTCCCATCAACCACTGCCTTGATAATGGAACCAGGTTCCACGCCACACATATCAGTAGCTAGGGGCCCAGGGACTTCATGGAGAGACTTAGGTTTATTAGTGGCTAGAGGTAACAGGATAACAAAATGGACAGATGACAAAAACGGTTGGCAAACTGGAGGCGGGTTAAAGCGCAAAACTCTAGGGTTTACTCTAGTGATGACACCACGCGCCCACCTAGACGACCCTGAACAACAATGATGTATGCTAAGTGAAGAGGCCTTAGAGGTCCTGAAAACGGTGCCGCCATGCGTATGGTCACAAGGAAAATGTGATGTAGGTCGCATGGTGAACGCAAAACCTGTACACGTTAGACCAAAAACTAACTACAGACCTAACATAAGACAATACCCCTTAAAAGAGGATGCAAAAGTTGGCATCAAACCTGTAATTGAAGAAATGCTAAAAGCAGGGATCCTGCGTGAGTGCCCTGATGCATCATGCAATACCCCCATCTTCCCAGTAAAAAAGGCTGATGGGCAGTCATGGAGAATGATTCAAGACTTAAGAGCAGTAAATGATGCTGTACAAAGCACAGCCCCAACAGTACCAGATCCACACACGTTAATGAACGGCCTTAAGCCAAATATGGCATGGTTCTCAGTGATAGACTTGAGCAATGCCTTTTTCTCCATTCCTGTAGAAAAAGACTCACAAGGATGGTTTGGGTTCACACATGAAGGAACAAAATACACATACACCAGATTACCTCAGGGGTATGTGGATAGCCCAACAATCTTTTCACAAGAAATAGCAAATTGTTTGGCTACATTACAGATACCTGACACATCGCAGATTTTGGTATATGTAGATGATATTCTTGTTGCGTCACCCACACAGGAAGAAAGCACAAAAGTCACACTACAAGTATTGACACATTTGGCCAAAACAGGAAACAAGGTTTCAAGACAGAAACTTCAGTTTGTGAAAGAGGAAGTGATCTTTTTAGGCCACAATTTAAACCGAGAAGGGAGACGCATACACTCAGAGAGGAAACAGACGGTGTTAAACGCACCAAAGCCAACAACAAAAAAACAAATGATGCAATTCCTTGGGCTGACTAACTATTGCAGAGCATGGATTCCAGACTACGCAGGAATGACTCAGCCCCTACTAGATTGCATATACTCAGACAATGACATGAAAATGTCCGGCAAGATAGAATGGACACAAGAGGCAGAAGCTGCATTTGAAAGGACTAAACAGTGTCTCGTAGGGTCATCAGTGTTAGCATTACCAGACTATGAAAAACCATTTGTACAAACAGTTGACTGCAAAAAAGGGTTTATGACATCAGTATTGGCCCAAAAACACGGCACAAAACTAAGGCCTGTCGCTTACTACTCTAAAAGGTTAGACCCAGTAGCACAAGCATTACCAGTATGCGTACAAGCAGTATGTGCGGCAGCAATGGCGGTACATTGTACAGCAGAAATAGTTTTGTTCCACCCACTCACACTGATGGTTCCACACGCAGTCACCATGTTGTTACATGACACCAAAATGGCTTTCTTATCACCTGCACGTTATTTGGCACTGACAGCTACACTAATGTCACAACCACACATTGTGATAAAAAGATGTAATATCTTAAATCCAGCCACATTAATACCTACAGCAGAAGATGGAGAACCACACTGTTGTAAAGAAGAGACTGACAGAACATGCAAACCAAGACCAGATTTGAAAGACATACAACTACTCAGTGGCGAAACATGGTTTGTGGATGGGTCCTGTTCTAAATCTATAACAGGCCAAAATCAAACAGGGTTTGCAGTTGTATCACACTCACAGGTCATAAAAGCAGGCCGACTCCCCCACACATATTCTGCACAAGCAGCGGAATTAGTAGCTCTTACAGAAGCATGCAAAGCGGGGGTTGGAAAAGATGTGACTATGTGGACAGACAGCCAGTATGCGCACTCAACAGTACATATATTTGCAGCCCAATGGGCCCGCAGGGGCATGAAAACATCAACAGGAAAACCAGTCACCCATGCACAGCTGCTGACTGATCTTTTAAAAGCGGTGTTGTTGCCGAAAAGCATTGCTATATGCAAATGTGCTGCGCACACCAGTGGGAAGGATGCAGTAACACTTGGCAATGCACACGCGGATAAGGTAGCGAAGCTAGCAGCTATGGGCGAATATGGGTTCCATATCCTCTTGCAGAAGGGGGAAAGTGTTTCACAACCAATACCTCTTGTGATATTAAGGGATATGCAGAACAACGCACCCGACAGAGAAAAGAAGAAATGGTTGACAGATGGAGCAACCACAGACCCTGAGGGAACATTCAGAATAAACAACAAGATAGTACTCCCTGTTAGTCTCTACAAAACAGCAGCTCATTTGAGTCATGGGCCGTGCCATGTCTCAACAGGAGGGATGGTGACAATAATAAATGAACATTTCCATACATACAACTACATTACATTTTCTAAAAACTTTTGTAGAGCCTGTGTAGTATGTTGCAGACACAATGCTCAAGGCAATGAGCGACCACAGAGAGGAAAGTTCCCTCCACCAACATACCCATTTCAACACATGCATATGGACTTCATCGAACTAACACCATGCCAAGGGTACAAATACTGTTTGGTAATGATATGTCCGTTTTCAAAGTGGGTTGAAATATTCCCAGCAAAACATGCAGACGCTATTACCGTAGCAAAAGCCATATGCAAGACAATAATACCAAACAGAGGTATTCCAGAGAAACTGTACAGTGATAATGGGTCTCATTTTGTAAATCAGGTTATTACCAAACTGTCCGAACATATGGGGATAACATTAAAAAACCATTGTGCATATCATCCACAGAGTGCAGGCTTAGTGGAAAGAACAAACGGAACAGTAAAGTTAAGACTAAGGAAAACAATGGAAGAAACAGGAAGACCATGGGTGGAATGTGTGTCTCTAGTAGAAACATGCATGAGAATCACGCCCACGGCAAAAGGGTTGTCTCCCTTTGAGATCATAACAGGAAGGCAATTCAGATTACCAATCACAGACGAGGTGAGGGAGGAGGATGATGCTGAGGCAGGGACTACATTAGCTGAATGGATGAGCAGACTCTTCAGAAGCAATGAGATAGCTCGAACAAATAACCTGCCAGACATTTCTACTCCCTTGCAGGACACTCGAGTGCAGACTGGTGACCAGGTCCTCGTGAAGGTGATTAAGAGGAAGCATTGGCACTGTCCACGGTGGGACGGTCCCTACACGGTACTGCTGACAACACCGACTGCACTAAAAATCGCCGAAAGAACTACGTGGATACATCAGAGCCACTGCAAAAAGATAATACCTCTCCAACTTAACGACGGATAAGTGGTGGAAGTCCGGCTACAAAGGGCGGTGTTTCATTAGGAAATACTGGTCTCAACCCCGGTGAAGAAAACAACAGAACCACTATCACAAATAGACTATGTTGGGAAAGGTGTTGTTTGTAGTGACCCTGCTGGGTCTGACGCTAATGACTATAAGACAATTGAGTGAGGAATCCTCAACAAAAAAAAAGGTCCATCGAGAGAAAAAATGGTCATTACTCAACGATGACCCATGGAACCACAACGACAAAACTGCACGCTCACCTAGGATGACAAATGCCTGGTATGCCTATGTCCATCAACTTGTTACAAAGACAGGGCGTTCAAATTGTTATGTTTGTTCCCACATGCCATGGTCAACTGGACAAGTAACTCTGTATGGTAAAAGGATGAGTAAATCACAAGCTAAATGTTTTGCTACCATGGGAGGTGTAGGATACCAGCACTCAGGGATAAAAGTCAACGATGTGAATCCATATGCCCCAGGTTTAAGCAATGGCACTTGTAATAAGATATTTTGGGTGAACTTTAACATGACAGTGCCACGTAAAATGACAGGACAAAAGGTAGTCATGCCAAATAATGAAGCTATACACCCTATGTGTTACAGTCAGACAGAAGGTTCTGTACCAATGGGAAACACCACTGGTTGTAATCAGACACTTGTTAATGGCGAAGGGGCTCCAGTCTATTTGAGCAAACAATCTAATGGTACATGGTGGGTACAAGGAGGATGGTGGCTGTGTGGCAACAACGCTTATCCAGTTCTGCCAATAAATTGGACAGGCACGTGCGCACCAATATTTGTTAGCGACCACACCTTCGTGATAGACATAGAACCACACCTTAACCACACCCGCAGGAGGAGAAATGCCATGCCTGCCTTCAAAAAACATGATTCAGTATGGGGAAAAGATGTCCCTGATGAATTCAAACACTGGTCCACCAGTGGAAAGGTAATATTAGCATTGACTCCTGCCTTAGGCGTAGCGAAGAACATGTTGAGACTCGAAACCCTTGATTACCGGTTCGGCATGTTTGTAAATAATTCCATCGTTGTAAACGAACAACAGAACCTTGAACTAGACTCACTCAGAACCATGGTGCTACAGCACCGCATGGCCCTTGATCTACTCACTGCCTCAGTAGGAGGTACGTGTATCCTTTTGAACACAATCTGTTGTACATATATCACCGACAATGTCCACTCCCAAAACATGACAGATGCAATGGCTACTCTCAAAGCCCTACAGACAGCTATGGGCCAAGACAGACATGCCTCTCTTGAGACCGGATGGTTCAATTGGCTACTCTCAGGGAGCTGGGTTCAAAAGCTCGTGATGGGATTTGTTGCAATCATATGTGTTGTCATCCTTGTGTGCTGTGCTATGGCTTGTATTATACCATGTGTTAAAGCTATGGTTGGTAAAATAGTTACCAACACTCTTGTCCAATATACGATGTTGCAACAGACAGATAACGATGACTATACTGACACAGACCCCTCTCAGAAGGACGAATATACTCACCTAACCTCCAATGTGTAAGACTTAAAGCTAGGTTACTGTCTGTCATATGACGAATGGTTCGAAAATGTCAAAAACAAGTGAATTAATTCTGAAAGTAATAAAGACACTGTAACCAGCTAGTAATTATGAAAAACAGGAGGGAATGTTAGAGTTTATTGAAGGATAAACGTGTTTTCATAATATGTTGTCATTTTATGTTGTAAAGAGACCATAGTCAGAAAGAGGAACAGAGAATAGTCTGTTCCTCTTTTCTGTGGACCATACACACACACACACACATGATTGCGAGTCACAAGACTCCCATTGACAAATAAAGCCGTTGGTTACATACACTTCCTCATGCATGATTTGTAACTGTATTTTTGTAATAAAGAGACTGCACTGAGAGAAGAGGAGCAGAGTTGGTTTTGGAGTTGACATAACCTGTCACTCGCTGATTCTCCTTGCAGCAAGTAAACTTGAAACTCGAGTACTGTTATCTTTGTTCACTGGGTTTTGGTATATTTGAACCGAGCTGGGGTTTACTCTTACAAAGTAATATAGAAATACCCAACAATTGAGGCACAGCCTCTGTCTCTTCATCCAGCCACACAATGTATTCATCCTTAGGTTACCCCATTGAGAGCTGTTATTTGTTCCCACAAAAGAAGACTTTCTCAGGTCACTGTGAAAAGTTGTTGAAAATAAAATGCACCATGACCTTATTTTATGTCTTGAAATAAATTACTAGTGAAACAAAATCCAATAGGTTCCTGAATATTTTTACCAAAAAGTAAAAATCAATGGTAGAAGATTTTGTCCAATCAGTTTTTTGAAACGCCTTTTGTGAACGCACCTCTTTGCGCCTGCATGTGTGTCTTAAGAAAATATTTTAATGGAGCTTTTACCTTTTGTGCAAGATTTCTACATGAAAATACAAGCACACACTGTCCAGAACAGGTGAACTGTGTCAAATGTTTTTTGTTCCTTTTTCCTTTCGGCATTGGGGGGTTCACAGACCTTGTGCCATTGTATAACTGTGAGTAAACTGTGTTGCATTTGCTGACTTGAATATGTTTTTTCGTGGAGCAGTTGAAGAGTCAGCAGTCCAGCAGTTTGCTGATACATGTTTTTAATTTCATTTTTACAGCCTTTTCCCTCCTTGTCATAAATACTAACTGGGCTGCGAGACGCCACATATATAACAGTGTGTATGCATGGTCAAACTAAATGATAGCCTTCCTCACGGGCAACTTTACAAAGTGCACATGTTACAGTCTCTTTTAGAAAGCCAAACGCTGTGCTGTGTTCTTTAATGGATCTATTAGATCAACATTATAATGCAAAAATACAGTCTGTCCATTAACAATTCAGCCCCTAAGGCTGCAGGCCAGTGCAGCATGTATTTGTATTACCCTATGCATGTGTGTATGCATTTAAACCAAGTGAGCACAGTGCAGGTCAGCAGAGTGTTTCCCCACCAGCGCTACACTTTGATTGGCTAACCTCGACCGCTCCTGTTGTGCTCCCTTCCATGACCTCCCTCTATTACATCAGACAACAACAAACAGACACAGTAAAACATCACACACAACCCCTCTATCAACTTCTATACAGTATACAAGGGGCTAGTGTGTAATCTGTATATTTTCTTGATATTTAGCATTTACTCCAGTTGCATGACCAAAACAAAAAAGCATTGCATTCACATTCTGCAATTGGTATCATAACATCTTTCTCTCCCTTCCCTTATTTTGGTCCTTTTGCTGCTCATTTTAAAATCATGAGCAAGACTCCTCGTGTGATGGTTTATTTTCGGCACAGGAACAGAAGGGCACACACACTCAATGAAAAAAAACGTTGGGTTCCTCCACTCAGCAGCTTGTTTGGAGCTGAACGTCAAAGCGAAATGCCACAGAGGAATGCTTTGTCACTCCAGTCTCAGCAAAGTGGAAGGACACGACGGCTGCCCACACAGAAACCCGATGGATGAAATAACCAATGTGCTTTTGAGGGATGAAACTTGACAGGAGTGATGCAGCAAATGAAATAACTTCCTGCCGCACACAAAAGGCTTTGACGACACATTTCCATACCTCTTCAAAGAAAGTGTTTCATTTTTACATCTATGTATCGTAGGAAGAAAATCGTTCCTTTAACTGCTATGATTCATACTTTTTTTAATGCTGAAATCATTTCAGGACTTAATTTGCATTTATGCTGGTTTATAAATTGGTATCTCTCACTCTTCTGCTGTGGATGTTATTTTTATTGTAGAAAGCTTCCTTTTTTTCTTGCATTTTGAAGGACTCGCCTCAAATTTGACATTTATTGATGGTTTAAATGAAAGAGAAATTGCTGCTGCTAACAACACATGTCTATATTAGTTTGAGTTTCAATCGTCACAGATTTACAGTGGTACACCTTGTGATTTAAGTAGCTTGTTAGTTAAGTTTATATGGCTAGCTCACCTGCTAGCTTGTGCCGCTTCGTACAGCTATTACAGTGGTGGTGTTCCACAAGGAAGCATATTAGGTCCGTTACTGTTCCTAATTTATGTAAATGTCATCAGCATGTGACTGCAACTTGTTCCTGTTCGCGGACGACTCAGCCCTGCTGGTCTCTGACAGGAACAGGTTGCAGGTTGAAAAAACCCTCAGCTCCGAGCTCGGCAGAATCTGCACCTGGCTCGCCGATAATAAATTATCATTACACCTGGGTAAAATAGAGTCCATTCTCTTCGGTTCGAAACATAATCTCAGCAAATCCGACGACTTCTCAGTTGCAGTGGGCGACATTATTGTCACAAGTAAGAAGGAAATTACATACCTAGGATCTATTCTTGAGGCAAACCTCTCCTGTGACAAAATGGCATCCAATGTAATAAAAAAAGTCAATCAAAGAACTAGATTCCTATACCGGATCTCCTCTCTGGTAAACAAAAACACCCTGAAAACTCTGGCAGGAGCACTCATTCAAGGGTACTATGACTATGCTTGCACGTCATGGTACCATAGCACCTCCAAGGCGCTAAAAAATAAAACTTCAAACATCGCAAAATAAACTGGTCAGACTACTGCTTGACCTTTCATCTAGAACCCACCTCACCTCTGCCCACTTTGACAACCTAGGATGGCTTAGAGTAGACGACAGAGTACAGCTACTTGCAATGGGCCTGGTCTACAAGATCCACTACACCTCTATGGTACCCATGTACATGTCAAAATTCTTCCAAAGGTCAAGGAATACCATGATCATAACACCAGAGGGAGCTCCACAAATCATGTGAAACCCAGATTTGGCACAAAAAAGGGGGAATACACGTTTCGCAATTATGCCACATCAAGGTGGAACGCTCTTCCCACAACTGTAAAGGAAAGTAAAACTATACTTACCTTCAAAACCTCTCTTAAAGAGCACCTTCGGGGGAGATCATTGCAAAACTGGCCCCGGTAATGGTACAAATCTCAACCTGTCGTTCAATGGACAGCTTCCCCCCCCCCCCATCTATGTATATACTCGCATTTTAGACTCTGTTACTAACTGTATATCTGTAGA